GTCTAGACCACGAAGTCTTGTTTCCGTTCTGGTCTAAACACCACCCTCCCAATATCACGTCTAAAGATTGCCGTTTGCGAAATATAATCTCTACACAGAACATGTATATGGTAATACCCACAAAGGAGTTGGTTTTCGCGAACACCTGGTGTCATCACTGATCCGTTCACATATTTTTCGAGACTGATTATTTTTGGAAGTTGACAATTTATCATTGTACCACACAGTTTTAGACTGATTTCCACTATATACTGCATTGTATAGAGTATTAAAACGGGACTTTTGAAAAAACCGTTATAAGTTTGTTCTGTATATCTGAGACCGTTACAAAGGTATATGTGACATGTCAACGCAAGACAATAGCCAGTCTCGATTATCTATCCAAACCGATTCCATGACACGTAAAAGGCAAAATAGTTGTGAAAACTATATGAATGAATCACTCAAAAACCAGTGAAAAGGACAAGTAATGAACTACGGTAAACTACGGTTATAACGAACACGCTTATAACGAACTGGCGGATATAACGAACTGGTTTTAGGTCCCTGCCATTTGCTGTATATATGCTGTATATATGCTTATAACGAATTACGGTTATAACGAACTAGAATTTGTAGTCCTTGTTCGCTATAACCGTAGTTTACTGTAATTACCATCATGAATCTGATAATATTTGAAGCCTTCCTCACGTAAATCGACACTACAGAGCTATATCCCACGACAAGGTCACACTGACCCGTCTTAATTACAGTCAAACGTCCAATCATTAACACCAAAAAACAAATACATACAAGTCCTTGAAGAATTTTGGACTAATTCCACGAGACAGCTTGAACGAGCCGACTTCTTGTCTCGGCATGAGGCATACAAAGCATTTGAGTATTAAATACGTGTATTAGGTTCTATTTTGCCAAGGGCATTTTTTTAAGCATTCCTGTTAATATTCTTGACATTTCAAATTCGTCCATGTAATCCCATGACTCTGGTACTGATCTGTATTTGAGTCGCCCCGGAAGCGATACTATCGGAATGAGTAGTCTGTTTGTTTTTAATACGCATGTCAATCAAATTTCGTTTCCGCACCCATTTCGAATTTATAATACTCTCAACATTTAACGTTATCTTCTCAATTCCCGTTCTCGTATGAATATCGATTCCAACTTTTTATCTAATTTGACAAAGCGCAAACACGCACCGATGCTATCACGAGATGTGTTTAAAGAAACGTTTATATTCTACAGCTGGGGCCAATAAAATTTCAAGGAACTGTAAATTCTTCGGAATTTTATGTTTATGTCGAAATAATAGTCGTCAACCATTTTCGGTTTCTCGAAGTAAAAATAGATATGAAAACATTACATCAAATTCCTTTCGACATTCATAGGCGTTAAAAAACAGGTAATTCATTTTCAGTATGTAAAATCGACTTCCAGATTCTAAATATTAATGTCTCGAGTATTGTCGAGTACCTTGATGTCTCGAACTAATTTTCCTCTTCGTCTCATCTTACAATTTTCCGTTTTTGTGTTTGTGTATCTAGGATTAACACAACTTTAGGCAATTCGTATTAGTCAACTACGGTTATAAGGAAGTCGGTTGTGTCGAATATTCGGTTTTAGCGAACCCAATCGTTGTCCACTTGAGATGATATTCAACATAGTTAATGTGAATAAAGGAATTAGATATGACGGGATTACAGTTCGTAATATCCGGTATTGTTTGTAATGGCTACCCCAGGCACAAAACGGTTTTCTTTAAACAGCAATACAGATGCCAACCCAACTCCGTAAGTTGGCCAATAGCTGGCCGATTGCTCAGTGGGCGAATGGGCGAGTTGGCGAGTTGGCGATGATACATTTGTGTCAGGTAACCTTTTTAACTTTAAGCTGTGGACACATAATAGAAAACAATCATTTATCCAAATTGAAGAATAATTCACAAGTTCAATTCATTCTTGAATCACAGGCATTTTCACTCAAGTTGCCCACTTAGGATCAAACAGTGTGATATTTCAGGTTATGAAATCTTATATCAAGCTAATCAGATCAATAACCTCTCGTCTCCCCGGTGTGTGGATGTGGGTGTGGGTGTGGGTGTGGGTGTGGGTGTGGTGGGGGGTTAAAGTGTTCGCTCGTCACACCGAAGACCCGGGTTCGATTTCCCACATGGGTACAATGTATGAAGCCCATTTTTCGGTATCCACCACCCTGATATTGCAGGTATATTGCTAAAAGAGGCGTAAAACCATACTCACTCACTCACTCCACCGCATGGAGGTCTGTGAACAATTGCATTTTGGAAACGTTATCATGGACGGACCACAACGACATATCGCTCATCGTGCAGAAAGGAGCAGGAATTGATCGTGATATGCCCTGTTGTTACAACAGTTTTTGATCCATGTGTAATGAGATTATAATTATAGCTCACCTGCTGAAATTGAAGCTAAATGTGGCAACACTAAGTGAAAAGTACCAATGTTTTGATAAGCCGTGCAGCATTTGGTAACAGTTCGTCTGGAGAACGTTTTGACATATGTTGAATAATTCTTGAATACCCATGAGAAAGATTAATTGTGATAGAAGAACCTCGTTCATCTCGGCACCTTAACAAAACACATATTCTCTTTTTGGCGAAGTTATAATAGGGACATAAGAGCACACGCCATAGCTTGAATATATTACTTATAAGATTTGAAAGAATTATATAATATTTGATCATTTAATGATTCCGTTATCTTTTTAGATATATTGGTATTCGCTACGACAGGAGTATAACATTAATGTTTACTGCACTGGAACTAACGTTAACGCCAGTAATGTGGGTACTGTCCGGTATAGCGAGGTTACAGTGGACATACCTTCACTTTCGGTATATGAACCACAAAATAAACACAAAGCATGTTTATAACATCAATATGTGGCATATTAATATTTAAAATACAAATTTTACTCTAAACTTTCTGATTTCCAAAAGTGCATATTGAATTATATCTCAAGTCTTGATGGTACCATGATTCATTCAATATTTCGTGTGAAACGTGACTAAACTGAAGTAATTAATGCGTTAATTCTACGATTAACCCTGCGTACGCCGTAGCCGTTGATTACTGGATGATTACTGATCACAACTGATCCTAATTAATTGCTTTAACCTGTTTTACCAGACGGATAATTATTGGATTATCGAGGCACGAAGCGAGCATCACGGTCGCCAAATGAACGCTTGTCAATTTCCTTGTCAGTGGGTTGTTAATTAATTTGGCCTAACAACGTTATGACGAATAACGGAGGATTTATGTGGAAAATATGCTCTCGAATTATGAAGCAGTGTTCTTCGGAAACGATAAACACAGCCACAAGCATATTTGCAATATTTCATACATGGTTTAAAGATGTGATATTTTGACGTGAATGATAATTCTGATTTGCCCAAAACTATGTTTTCCATATTTGGAAATGTAATGTTAGTTAGTTTTAAGCCATCTAAAACCCGAGCAGTATGATTTGGTTGACTACTGACACATCGTCATGTTATTGACTCATTTTATGTGAAATATTGAAAAATATTACGCAATAAGTTACGGATAAACACTAGTCGTCGAATAACTCAATCTTTGAATCTCTGAAACTTGGGATCCCCCATAGGAGGGCTACCTTGATAATACTCTTAACGTCTCATTAATACCCGTGTTTGAGTGAGCTTTGAGTCCAGTTTACGTAACAACACACACGATATTCACCATGCTACTTCAGAAGTCTGACAAATAATCTTAAGATTTAAACCAAGCGTGAAAGATAAACTTGACAGGTCGAACAGTGAGCGCTAATCTTGTCAAACGAGCACAACCCATATCAGAGGCATGGCGGCCTGGTCGCTTCACCGCTGGACAATTGCGGTACCCTGCCGCGCAAGAAATGAGCCCCGATTATTCACCTTTGGGAACCCGCTCCTGAAGTAGTGTTTACGATGAGAGGTAAGAAGACTCTTTAAGGATGGACAAAAGATTCTGATGTTGATCGGAGACGGTTATTTGTGGCCAATGGCTTGAAATAGTTCACCCATTGCTACACTGCTAATAGACCTTTAAAGACGCCTGACGACTCCATTGCGCATTGTCCCGCCTTTCAGGACTTCTCGATGGCAAAGTTTGATAAAAGCTTTCCTCGGATAGGATTAAAACTTCAAAGCCAAGCTTGTGTGGGTATTTGGACAACTTGTTTTGGCGAAACTAGCATCAATGGTATGGCTTTTAGGATGTCACATCTGCAGACAAGTAATTGAGTCGAAGAGTGGAAAACTGTTGAGGTCATTTATGAAACATTTTGTCATCGATTTCCACAGCGCAGGTGGCCTTTGACTTCAGCGTTGAAGTGTGAGAACACCAACCCACTTGGTATTTAAAGCCAATATTGGAATGCAAGACAAATTATGACACACATTTTTTATGTTAACTGTCATGCATTTAAAAACCGCTTATTGGGCCGCTTATTCAAATACTACCTTTAAAGTTTATTTTGTCCTGATATTTAATCGTCCAACTAACAATAAATAATCATGTATTTATTTGTTATCATGAAATATAGATCAGTAGATCGGTATACATAATCCAAATGGTATATTTATAGCAGTGTATTTTTAACCCTGACTAAAAAAATGCACTGTATCATGTTGGTCTGTAACCCGTGGCTGGCAGCGTGATGTACGATCCGGGGACACATTACAGAGACAAAGTTTAATACATAACAACAAACCAAGTCTACATTGCAGTCATCCGATCCTCAGTATACTCGGCTGTTCCGGCAAATCACGGAGCACTTAGGGCTTTCTGTGACCCGAAATACCCCAGCTGTATTTATATCAACATTTAACTGGAACGTATGAAACCTTTTGAGGAGTGTTTTTCATAGAACCCACTCCAAGTTGTATGTACAATTGATCTGAAATACAATAGCAATGTAAGGAAGAATTTTTATAATAATTAAATCACATGTCTTACCCATTGACGGACACCCCTCAAGCTCTGGACTCTTCCGTTTGCGTGGCCTTCCTTTCTGGACCGCGCCCACTCCGTTATAATAGGGAATATTTGGTCCACCGAGTTCCGGTGACAGACTTTGCAAATACTCTCCTTGAAATATGATTTCATAGTCTGTTCTACAGTAAACAAGATGATCTTTCATTCCGAATTGTTCGCCTGGTGTCAAAGCTCGGTTGCACGAGCTACACGTGAAGCACGAGAGGTGATAAACTAGGTCACGAGCTCTCATTACAAGTTCGTTGGCGGCAATTCCAAGATGGCAGCGCGAGCACCTCTTTATTCCGAATCTCCTGTAACAGAAACCAAAGCTTAAGATTCTTCAAAATAGTTTTCCCGATAGAAGTTATTCTAATTAGTATAAGCTTGAACCCGTTTTTGAAATATAGGTCAATTTCGTGCGCCTTAATAAACATTTGTGACACAAAATCGATAAACCTCTGTATGAGGAAGAGAATTTATGGGTGTCAATGTCTTTAGTATGAGAAACACAACGTTTCGAAGTATATGCTTACTCCTTCAGCATCATTCACCAGATGAAGGAGTAAGTATATACTCCGAAACGTTGTGTTCCTCATTATACAAAAGTTGACATCCATAAATTCTCTTCCTTATGTGTATCACTCCAAAATGCCTTTTAAATACTTATTCTGTATGTCTAATCATTGAAATCCATTACTGGTGAATATTAAAACATAATCACAAATGCAAATCAAATATAATATCAGTCGATATTATATTCAAAAGCACGCAGTTTATTCGATGTCATGTCAACTGACCTTACATATTCATATCTAAAAATCCCAAACAATTCCAGTTTCGTATTTTTGTCATGTTAAATATCCAACAGCCGAACAAATTTGTTCTTTGTCATGTTTTTTTTGTATTCCTTACCTAAACGTCCTCAATACTCTGCAAATAATCTCGGTGCTAGGACTATCAATCAATAACACTTTTCACATACCCGTATCAAACACGATGATAAACATACCCACATTATCACGACCATGACAGTCTTAAATACCGAAAAGACTATATGGCAAGAGTGCTATCATAGGCGATCTTTAAACGCCATAAAAGTCAATATGGAATGCGACGACAAATTAAACACAGCCTTTTCTTTCATTGACAAATATTGCGGAGTTGCGTGCTCTTTTCGAGAGGCAAATGAGTAGTTGTGTGTGAACTGGCTGGGCGCGGGACACGGTAATAACCAGTGTGACTGCCGCTGTGTCAGCTGACCGTTACATATGTCAGCAGTCACATGTCGATTTCACAGGGAACCGTTTGTCGATGTGTCCCTATCACGTGTATAGCATGGCAACAACAACAACAGCAGCAGCAACAATAACAACAACAACAACAACATTAATAAAACAATCGGTGATGGCAATGATTACTAATGATAATGACAACTAACTACTACTACTTTATTATTACTACTACTACTACTACTACTACTACTACTACTACTGGGGCGGTCGGGTAGCCTAGTGGTTAAAGCGTTCGCTCGTCACGCAGAGGACCCGGGTTCGATTCCCGACATGGGTACAATGTGTGAAGCCCATTTCTGGTGTCCCCCGCCGTGATGTTGCTGGAATATTGCTAAAAGCGGCGTAAAACCATACTCACTCACTCACTCACTACTACTACTACTATTACTACTACTACTATTACTACTACTACCACCACTACTACTACTACTTTATGAATAAGCCCGAATACAGCTTCAGATCTATACAGGCCAACAAACCTGATCTTGTCCTTTTTGATAAATCCAATGAAATCATTTATATCATTGAATTTTCTGTCCCTTTTAACAGTAAAGTGATTGACAAGATTCAGGAGAAACGTGACAAACATTCAGACCTCGCTTTCGAAATGTCACACTTGCATCTTCGGTACCAAGTTATCTGACTCCCCTTTGTTTTTTTTTGCTTTAGGTTTGGTACCTCCCAATCTGTTGTCTGACATTGGGAGAGTACCCGGGTTTGCTGCCAGAATACAACCACTCTGACAATCTGGGTAATGCAGAAGGCTGCAGTGTTGGGGAGTCTTCACATTCCGAAAAGTTCTGGGTGGGTTTGACTAGGCAGCGCTTCCTGGGAGAAGTCCCATTCGCTGTCTGGGCTGCGTGTAGAGGGGGGCAAGGGCCCTGAGCTGATGATGAGCCTAACCAGCCTGACTGTGCCAGGATCATCCAAACCCTCTTTGCTGCATTTTCTATTTTAATATGCAAATAATAATAATAATAATCATAATAATAAAAGGTTCAGATTATCTAATCGCAACCATAGCCCAAAGTTTGTGGCCAAACAGTAGTTTCTGCTGTTGATGGGGGTGGTGAATGGCGGGAGTTTAATTAAATGTGAGATTATTTATCTCTTGTCTATGACAAAATCAACCATATTTAAATCGAACCCTGAATGTCATATGGGGTTCCCGCGTCCGGCCCTAGCGACAACAAAACAACACACGCCGTTGGCTGGATGGGGAAGTCTCAGAACCTCAGCATGACGGGCTGAATGCAGCCGTTGATCCAACGTGGTTAATATTTCATGTTATAATGTTTACTTTATTGATGCAAAGGAAACTGATTACCATCTTATTGTCTATACGGAATAAGGAAAATGATTCAAAGCACTTATTGTCATTTTCAAACATGATGAAATTGACAATGATTTGAAATTTACAAGACGTGACAGTTAATAATACAGCTTGAATGTACGTCCCGGAGATCAGGGCTGTATTGATCTTAAAGGACGGGAATCAGTGCAACCTTACGAAATCTACATAGTGAAAGTAACAATTATTTAAAATATATACGTTATCGATAACCTTGGGAGAAATTCGGACGTGGAGCTAGCAGCCACGTCCAGTGAAATCGACACATTTCACAGCACCGTGTATCGGAAAACACAGCACTATCGTCATGAATGAAATTGACCAGGCCCGCATGATTAAACAACGCGATCGAGTTGCCAAACAGACAAACATAGTCTTTTATTACACGTGATTGACGTGTGACGAACTTGTCCAAGGGTCGCGATCTATGAACTCAGTCTGGGTGCAGAACACACTGTGCGAAAAATTCATTTGGTTTAAAACAAAATCTCCATGTTACAATGTCAAACTAGTGAATTTGTTGCACATACACTGAACACTCGATATTCAAGACGATTCGGGTTTCCTGTCGCCTAAACTATTACTGTTAGCCCTCTCTCTCTCTCTCTCTCTCTCTCTCTCTCTCTCTCTCTCTCTCTCTCTCTCTCTCTCAGCCGAGTTAATAAAGTGAATCAGACATCTATGTGAGTGAGTGAGGTTTTACGCCGCGTTTAGCAATATTCCAGCAATATCACGGCGGGGGACACCACAAATGGGCTTCACACATTGTACTCATATCGGGAATCGAACCCGGGTCTTCGGCGTGACGAGCGAACGCTTTAGCCACTAGACTACCCGACCGCCCCATGCATTCATGTAATATGACAGAGTAAAAGTGGGCATTGAAATCGAATTTGACGATTGACTCCAAGAAAATTGATTCATTTAAGTATATGTTGAATCGAGAACAGAGCTCTCATCACTCATTATTCCTACGCAATGCCTGGAGAGAATGATCTATTGATTTAACCTATACGTTGTTACTGATATACTAAAAAATAAACTTTATATCACATTTTATGGGAATTTTAGGCCTTTATGGTTTGTATTGCTGTGGGAAGGAAATCTACTGGCAATGGAGACGACAATGAAATATGTCTTGCAGGTGGGTTTATGACAACGGTTGTGTATTTCAGAACACATATTGTCCCGCAAACTCCAGGGACACATATTGGGGCACATATTTCTCGCATATGTTCCCCCCACCCACCGCATCTGCTTTCGTCAGGAGAATAATCCAACATGGCGGAAGTTGACGTCTGCTGTTGGCTATAATGGAGAAAGAAGCAGACGTGCGGAAAAGCCTATCCGAACTGGTAGAAGTTGACGGATGATAGTTCGTACAAACTCTCTGCATAGCATTCTTGTACATATTTTTAAATGTAAAAGTATTTATACACGGAATCCGATCCAAATATATGCTGTCGAACAGAGAATATGGCAGATCTAATGTAAAAGCATACGCTTGATGTCAGGTGTTCAGCTACTACAGTGCTACTTGATGCGTACTTTAAAATACAATAATGCTCAAAACAGCAGTAAATTCAACTCACTCACTCTTAGAAAACCAGGTTTTGTATTATAAATACATTTCTACACACAGACGCTTATATAATAATACACCATTAAAACCCCGGTCAATGGGTTCAGTGTGCAATCGATTCTCATTCTCAGGTCCCTGGGGGGTACACAGCGTATTACAAGCCAAGCTTCCTCTAAGGCGAAGGCAGGTTAACAGTCACATTACCATCTCATTCTACCGGGTACCCATTCACTGCTGGGTAAACTGAGGCATATTTCGAACAAAGCCACTTGCCTACAGAGAGAGCACATATAACATGCACTTCAGTGTGGGGCAGCAAAGAGGATTTAGAAACTCTCAGGAGCCACGGTGACGAAAACGGTTACCCATCGAACTACTCTCCGCCACCAACGTTGCTTAACGTCGACTGAATTGTGATCTGTGAGTTGTACACATGATCATGTAGCACCAAATGCTGACGTAGTGATTATTGATCATTGCCTGCGTTATCTCAGGCCTATGATACAGTTAGTGAGTGAGTTGGTCTTAGCGCCACGTTGATTGGTATTTCGGTAAGACCCCGAGTGACGAAGGTTCTAGAAGTTTAACAAGCACGGATATGGTGCAGTAGACTTGGGATCATGATCGGGTCGCATCTGGGATTCGAACCCGTGAAACATGATTGTTGGATATGTAGCCATTTGTTATCGTTACGAAATACGACTATGGTAATAGGTAAAGACAGCTTACTCCGGATATAGCGAAGGAATTCACAGAGATCTGACTGTTCATGTCGGTTTCAATTCCATACCTTGTGTTCTCCAAATAACGCAGCTTTTCATGTGAACAGCGAAGTTCGGATGTATCGAAAGCAACTCAAATGTTCGAGTTCGCGTGAATGGCGACGTTCGGATGTATCGAAGACCACTCTAATCCTCGAGTTCGATATATAACGCTTCTGTTCATGTGAATATCGAAGTGGGATGTAACGCACTGGCGAGAGGGGTTTGTAATATCAGTATTTGAAAATTAATCACATATTAATCTTCAAACAGTGATATATTTCGAACATATTAAAGTCCTTTGTGTCAGGTATTGACCTTTATA